TGTTCTGGGGCAACAATTTTTCTCCCCCTCTCTGCCCAAACAGCCAGAGCTGTGAGCTTCATGGGGGAACTGCAGAACCTACTACCGCATTTTAAGGTCACTAGTTAAGGTCCTGTAGTAAACAGCTCTGTCACTTGTCCGGGTGTTAGAGCAGACTGCAGCTTCCCTGTTCCTGTAGCTGTGTAGGATCTGTTAGCAGCAACAGAAGCACTAATGGCATGTGCTGCTCTGAGAGCCTTGAGGAGCTACTATGCATATAGACCCCAGCCTACCTATTGCAGGACTGCTGCTCTGACAGCATCTGCCCTTCTGGAAAACCCTATTGCTTTGTCTAGAGGTGACCCTGCTGCCTCTGCATCCTGTTTATCCTCCCTGCATGTAACTGTCTGAAGTTCGGCTTTCGTTCATTCATCTCCATGTCTCTTGATGTTCTTGTTTGTCTTTTTCCTCTTTGCAACTCCCCACTTCATGGTGCTTTTACACTGTCTTGTTGCTGAAATGTGGTGTGTTCCAGCTGCCCTTGCCTTCAAACTGAAAACATATATAATGCGTGGTAAGTTGCATCCTTGACATGTGCACCTCACCTCTGCCTTTGTGTATGTTACGTGAGATCCTTCATCCCAACTAACTTCCCTCGTCCACAAGCCAAAGCCCCTTCTGCAAGCTTGTGCTGTCTAGCAGGGTTTCTATCAGAACCTATGAAGACTGTGGGAAGGGTTTATAGCCTCGGATGTGAAGGCTGCAGCCACAGAGCACTTGTGACAGATGCTGTGGGGTGCTGGTCTGTCCCAGCCCCAGTCCTGTGGCAGTAATGCCACCTTTCTTGTCTCCTTTTTGCTCGTCCTCGCCTCCTGAAGGCCCAGGTAACAACGCCTCGGGGCAGTCCCGTGCCATGATTGCAGCCGCGGCCCGTCGCAGGGACTCCAGTCACAACGAGCTCTACTATGAAGAGGCCGACCACGAGCGCCGAGTGAAAAAACGCCGTGCAAGGTAAAGCTGTCCCTTCCTGGGTGCCCCCTCTCAACGCTGTGAGGCTCAGTCGCGTGGGGCTTGCTGAACCTGATGAGGGGAGGACCCGTGATTAAGGGCTGGGGGTTGGCTGTAAATCTGTCACAGCAAAGAAGCATATGAAACCCAGATGCACAAGGGATGGTGACAGGTTGCAACTGGAATTATCTGAAGAGCATGCATAAAGCAAAGCTCCTGTTTATTATGCTAGATAAACTAATGCAATGTCACGGGTTAGGGAACAGTCCAGTGCTTGACAAATCTGTAGTTACTTGCTGTAGGAAATCCCATTATTTCCCCCATGCCCGGGCTTGTCGTCTCCGCTCAAGTAATCCAGGGACACGATCAGTGGAGCACTTGGTGTTGCCTGTTCATGGGCGAGGAGAATATTTGTGTTTGCAGAGTACTAAAAGGGGCGGTTTGGCCTTTTCAGTGAGTTGGGGAGGAAACTAGTGACCAGGACTGGTTGCATTTTATTTTGGAACGTAGGTATGTTTTCTGCCAGTCACACTTAGGCTGCAGAGTTGATGCTTTGTTGAGGCGACCCGACGTAGTGCCTCTATTTGCTCTGGAGCCTAATTACAGTTTGTAGTTAACATACCTAACAGTTTGAGGCAAGTTGCTTACGGACAGGCACCCCTGAACTGAGCTGTGTTTGGAAGGAATGTGCCGTAACTGGAAGGAGCTGGCTTGTTTTGTGTTTTCTTTTGGCAGTTTATATTTCATTGGGAAAGTGCTGGCACAGTGTCCCCCCCAGCCTGCTTTAGTCTGATATGTGCTCCATAGCCACTGTCTTTTGGGCTCTCTTCCAGCCTCGGAGCAATAGGAACTTAAGCTCTCCTTTCCGTGCAGTGTAGCATCCTAACTTGGGCACATCTCCCTCGCTTGCTGAGTTTGGTTAGAACAGCTGCTTAGTCAGAAGAAAACCATCAGTCACTAGAAGATCAGGCCAGATGTTTCAAAGGAGGAAGGTCAGAGCTGCAACAAAAAGATATGAGGAGATTAGAAACTGATTTCTACTCCCCATCTCCCCCAAGTCAAATTAAACAAAATGGGCAGGGGTCAGGGCTTCTCATGCTGTTCCTCATATATAGTCTGAATGCAGTATGCTATACCTCTGCTCGCCGTGAGGCAGCTTCCCCTGGCTTTAAGATGCTTTAGGTATTGAGGGCACTGTGGACAGTAGTAGGTGACTTGAGTGGAAATCTAGTGTGAAACAAGTCCTGTCTGGAGGGGCAAAAGAGTTTTGTTGGGTGACTCTTCCTTTATCGTTACTTTTTCCTCACTAGCTGCAGTGTAGCCCCTCACTTGTAACTTAGTACTGGGCTAACTTGGAAGTGTCGTATGGCATTGGCTTGCCTTTTTATGGTGTGGTCTTGGTGTTTACTCACCTGTGCCAACACAGGAATGGTTTGCAGAGGATGTCTCTAGCTGCAGTGTTAGGAGTGAAGACGGGAGCGCCGTCACTGTTCAGTGGAGGGGTGCAGAACAATCATTTGGCAGCACAAGGTCTGTACCTACGTGATGTAAATCGGAGCAGACTGCAGCTTGTGAGCACAGTCACGGAGCAGTCTGTGTCCTGGGTCATGCTAGTTTATAGCCAGCCCCTTCCTGACTGCTTGCCCGTCCTTATGCTTCACGCTGCGGTACTGTGTGCTGGAACCGTTGTTTTCAAAGACATGCATTAAACGCAAGGGCAGCTGTGTCTTGTTTGAGTCATGTAGCTGATGTTTATGCTGTGTTGGCAGAACCAAGTATGACGCTCAGGCTTTTAAAGTCTTAATCCTGGTTTATGACCTTCAGTTGCTGGATGGCTTGGGCAAGGAAAGAAAAGCTGCTGTCTACCCCTCAGACTGTCAGGAGGGAAGATTTTATGTAAATTGTCTGATGGCAGGCAGTGAGCCAGTGGCAGAGATGGGAATAGGAGCTTGTAAATCCTGACTCCCAGGCTCTGCCTTAACCACAAATCCATCCTACCTCTCTTGTTGTGACTCTTACTGTCCTGATTTTCCTTCTGCAGGCTTGTGGTTGCAGTAGAGGAGGCTTTCACTCACATCAAACGCCTCCAGGCAGAGGAACAGCAGAAAGCTCCCGGAGAGATGATGGACCCCCGAGAAGCAGCCCAGGCAATCTTCCCCTCCATGGCAAGAGCTCTGCAGAAGTACCTTCGCACCACCCGCCAGCAACAGTACCACAGCATGGAGAGCATCTTGCAACACTTGTCCTTCTGCATCACCAATAACATGACACCAAAGGTAATGCTTTCTCTAACGTTGGTGCAGGAAGGAGGGAGAAAGGGATGGCACATCTGTGTGCGCATGCAGAACAGAAAATTGTCAGGGGAGGTGAGCGGAGGTTTTCATAGTTGCTGCCTGTGATATGATCAGCGCATTGTAGGTTGCATCAGGTCTTAAAGGGAAGTAATGTTTCCTCTACAGCATCATCTGTCTTTTTTTACCTGAAAGTGCCTATGAGATAATTGTTCTCATGTCCAGTTCAGCAAAGGGAGTACCAAAGACGTCTGAGACGGTGGCCTTGAGTCACAGCATATTCTCCCAGCTGGCTCGTGGTAGCAGCATGATGCAGGTGGCAACCTGCAAAGGACTATTTTTTTTAATTATTTTTTTAATTTTTTTTTTGTCCCCTCTGCAGTGCTGCATTTTGGACTGCTTCTAATTATTGCCTAAACCCTTGTTTGTCTGACAGTGTTATCTAATTTGTGGGCCACTTGATTAAATGTCAGTTTGCTGCTTCGTGCCCTGACTGGGACTGTTGACTTGCAGACACAGAGAGGGACTGAATGATGAGGGAAACAAGTCACATGATCCCCCTCCCACTCTCCACCTTCCCCTCTAAAAACACCCCACAATCTTAGAGAAGGGTTAGAAATGCGAGAATTTACTCGGGGGCGTTTACCCAGGACTCACTATGCTAAGAACAGAAATGCTGTCAAGAGATGGGGCTTAGCACCCTCTCAGTGGGATCCACCTGGGACCTCACCCAGGTATGCAAGGGGGAGTTCTGCTGCCATTGAGATTGCAAAGGAGACTAAAACACAAGTGACATCAAACGGCGTTCCCTGTCCGGCTTTTAGTTTTGCAGCCTCAGTCAGGCTGCAAACATGGAAACCTCTGCTTTCCACCTTAGCTTGGCCTGAAGAAGGGAGGGCCAGCTATCCCATCTGCCTGTCTGGGACTGCAATTTTGGGATGGGTTATGGGGCTGGTAGGGAAGAAATGACCTACTCTACTGAACTGCTGCTAGACGGCAGTGCTGACGGCAGAAGTCAGGGCTATGACTTTGCAAGCTTTCTGGGATGGACTGAAAGAGGATCTCCTGGTGGTTGCGCCTGCTCCTGGGGTCTGAAAAGCTGGGAGGGACTTGGGAGAGGATGTCTCCTGAAGCGCGGAAGCTGAAACCTTTTGCAGCATGGCATGCCCGTGCTCGCAGAGCTGTAGCTGGGGATGGAAAGAGAGCATCGACACAAAGCAAGTTGCGGGGCTGGTGCTAATGCATGTCCC